ATAACCTTCTGTGCCAAACGCTGACACCACAAAGTATCTAGCAAAGACAATTTTAAAATTCAGATCAAAATTTATTCTAACATTGTTAAGACCTTTCTATTTTTACCTTACCAATGATTTTAAAGCCAGCTTTTTTATTAAAGATGACTTAAGTCACATAAACTTGAAAATGGCTTTGACTTATTTATTTAGTGCATGAAATGCTCTTTTATTTATAAGCCAATTTGGTAGACACAACATACAACATAATAAATGTACATACACATAAACACATCTAAACATGTATATACATACACACACGAAGATGCAATAGCTTTTACCTTGAAACTCTAGCCATGAGATAGCAATACCAACCCACTGGTTTAGGAACATGTTCACATGGCTCAACTTTGTTTGCCCCAATAGGTAATCAATGAAAGCTTTGAACCAAAATTTGGGTAAAGCAGTTTCTGTGGCCACTCAATTTTTAAAGGCTAAACTTCCCCAGACTCCAAAGAACACTGGGGCCAAACAGCACTATAGAAGAACATCATGTACTAACCAGGCCCAACCCTGCTTAGAACAGCAGCCTAAAAGCCTAGATACACGTAACACTGTAACACCATTCCACTGTCTCACTCAACAGCATGACCCATGGAGAAGCCAAACTTCTCCAGATTCCAAAGAACACTGGAGCCAAACAGTGTTACAAAATACTATCAGGTTATCAAATTCTGATTTCCTATGACTATATTGACACACACAAATAAACAAGCAATCACTAAAACACTGTCCAATTGCTGCAGCAACCAACAAGTTCCAAATGTGTCCAAACTGGAACAGTCAGGGTGCTTTCCTGTATCAATCAGTTGGGCTTGTTCAACCTGCAAATGGAAATTCCTTCAGAATTCCCCACATTGAGAGCAGAAGATCCCACTACCTGGTACCCACAAAAGACATTCACCCATCCAAACTTAGATGACACATTTCAACGGCTGCTCTTCCTAGGCAATCAGGAACATGACTGGGGCCGGCAGACGTAGGGCCAGAGAAAGAAAAACTGACATCCACTTGTGGCCGAAAAAGTGTTGGCAGCTGCTTAGGAGGGCTTTTGAGATTCTCCCAGCCCACAGCAGCCAAGTTACTAGCAATACATTCCTGGCCAAGGAACCAAAACTTTGTCAAAAACAACTAAAACCTACCAAACTCCTGCATCTGTACAATGAAATGTCAGACTCCTCACCCATCACGATTGCTTAAACAAACACCTACTTGCTGTTGACCAACTCCTCTTCCTTACCTCTACCTAATTCCTATTTTGCCACACGGGTTCCGTTTCTTCCCTGCCCTATAAATCTCTAATTTTAGTCGATCAAGCAAACGGATTTGAGATTGATTTCCTATCCCCTCGGCTGCAGCAGTCAATTAAAGCCCTCTTCCCTGGCAATACTCATTGCCTCAGTAACTGGTTTTCTATGTCCAAGCAGCAGGGCGTAGACCAAACTCCTGGCATTTTAATAACACTAGGTTGCCTTTGCATTCCTATGAAAATCCTAAGAGTATATATTTTTGCCTCCATTTAACCGAATAAAAGAAGGAAGATCAGGGAACCTTTCCAAAGTCACTCACTTAGCAGCAGATGCAGCACTTTTATTCCTGGTCAGAAGCATATGAAAAGTTCAGAAGAGTAATTAATCCAGGTGGCATAGTTAAAAACAGGACAGTGTAAGAGTTTAAAAAGATAAGGACACATATAAGGAAAAACTATAGGTCAAATACTGCTAATGTGAAAATCTGAAAAGCAAAGTGCTCCCGAATTTAAAACATTTTGAGCACAGACACGATGCCAAAAGAAAATGCTCATTGGAGTATTTTAAGTTTCAGATTTCCGGATTAGGGATGCTCAGCTGGTGGGTATATGCAAATGTTCTAAAGTCCCCCCACCAAAATCTGAAATCTGAAACACTTGTGATTCCAAGCATTTCAGATAAAGAATACTCAACCTGTGAAAGAAAACAAATCAATTTTAAAATACAGCCAATCCCAGGAAAGGAGGAGGAGGAAGATGGAAATAAAGAGGAATACTGCAACCAAGAGTAAAATCAGCCAAGTGTCCCCTATGGTCCATGTACATCAGATAGGATGCTTTCAAGCACAAACAAGAGAAAACCCAACATGATAGGCTGAAACAGTAAAGGAAATGTATCATCTACCATCACTGAGAAGTCCAGGGTTCATTCAGGCTTTGGATACAGTTTAATCAGGACTCTTCTGAGAGTCCATTGCCTCTACCTTCTTGCCTGTGTGATTTCTCTGGTGCTGAAAAAAAATGACTTGAGCTGTTTCAAGCTTTATACCTCCCACTATACCACCCAGGACAAGAGAAAGCATCTATTTTCCCTATTGTCAAACACAAGAATCAGGCGTCATGTAAAGAAAGTCATTTTAGAACAGGTACATAGCCCTGAACGACCACTCTGAGCAAGGGTAAGTGGGATCTATACCATGATTGGCTTAAATCTCAGGTTACCTTCCATCCTTTAGCCTATCACATTGTCAAGGTTGAGTTCGAATGATTGCCTTAGGCTGATCGCTAGAGTTGAAGGTGGTATCAACCAACCAAAAGCCAGACGACTACTATGCAAATGTGGCAAAGTGGATTGAAGCCCAAATGGGTTGGAACCAATCATGTCTAACCCAGGTAGAAAGACTGCAGCAGTCCCGTACTTTGCTCTCCTCTATCCCATATTTTTCTTTTCCCCTTCTCCCATCACAGCTTCATTTTCCAAAAATTTCTATATATGCAGCTGCTGCCAACTGCACCTGGTCTGCCTGGATGTTTCCTTTGCCTTAGGCCCCTCTTCTCAGTTTTCTAAACAAATTAGAGCTAAGTCCCTTTCCCCATGTTCAACTAAAATAACTTACTATACTAGAAAACTGAGAAAATAAATAAGAAAATGAAAATATCAATCTGCAGAATCACAGAAATATTTGTTGAATTAGTCCATGAACTAAAGTAATTGGAAGTCTTTGTGGATATCTTGACAAATACTTACTATCTGGTGTCAATAGTCAGTCTCATTATCAAAAATATTATATTGCTAATTTGTCTACTTGCCAAATTTATAGCCCCCAGATATATATTCATAGCACTTTCCACAATCATTCATGAATATGTACAGAGGGTACAAAATTTGGAGTCCCTCAAAGAACATATTCCTAAAGTCAAAAAAGTTGGTGCTCTGTAACATGTTCCAGCTCTTACACAGTAAACAAGCATCCTTGCATAGTCTATATAGTGCCAACTTTTCACATTTTTGTGTTTTGAGGTTGGTGATTTCCTACTGATAATCTTAAATGGCTCCCAAGTGTAATGCTTAAGTGTTTGTCTCATTTTCCTAAGCATAAGAAGGCTGTGACATACCTTACAAAGAGAAAAATGTGTGTGTTAGATAAACTTTTTGTTATATATAGTTACATAGCTGTTGACTATGAATGTTAATAAATCAACAGCTTGATACATGCGGGGAAGGAAGGAAATTCACCCATCTGTAGGAGAAGAAAGTTGCTTGGGAAAGTAACATCTATAATGCTATGCTGAACATATGGGAAAATAGCTACATTTGTGGATTCATGAAATGACAACCATTTTTTTTAAGTATAGTCGACAGCAATGATGTGAGGCTGAAAACCAAAGAAATTTATGATCACGTTAACCAAGGTCAGGAATATACTAAACACTTCTTAGATAGTTTTATTATATCTTGAAATACTGCATATAATGAATTAATTATAAACATATACACATATATAAAATAAGATGTCTTTAAACAGAAACACACATAAAACAAGCTTATGTATTCATCAGTTAACAAAAATGTTGACTTGTGAAAAAAGCTAACAAGAACCCTAACACCTGCCTGTATTTCCCTGGGAACAATGGCTAAGTGCTCACGAATCCAGTGTTGCAGCAACTACCTGGTATAACTGCTTGTGAGAATGACAAAAATGTCCGCAGTACGGCATTGCCTTGATCTCACTTCAATCTTGAGAACACCCTCTTGTTCACCCACGTCACATTTCTCTTCAGTGACACACTTATACTATATCTCAGGCATCACCAGCATCAGTGCCTCACAAATTTTAGTGGACTTGTGAGTATCCTGCTGATTTTCCAAAATACAAATTATAATTCAGTAAATCTAAGGTGTGAGACCAAATTCTACCTTTCCTAACAAGCTCAATGTGAAACTCTGCTGCTTGTCCCTGAACCACTAGATAGTAAAGATATACAACCTGCCTTGCATACCTGCAACACCCACCGCCTCCGAATAACTCTCTATAGTTGAATGATGACGTAGTAAGAGACAAAATAGTGTTTCTCCTCTGGAGCTCAGAGAACAAACTATAGAACTAAGAATGTGTAAAATTTCCTCCAGGCTAGAAGGCTTTTAACCAGAAGAGTATCAAATGTCTCAACTACTTCAAAAGCACCAGGAAGGAAAGAATAAGAAAAAGACTACAAATTTGGCATAGTTCTGCACAGGTTTATTGAGAACATGTTTCATGAGGCAAAGATCCTTCACCAGAGATGCATATATTAAAACACACATACTTTGCATTGAAGGGTAGAAAATTAGAGGAAAAAAGGGACCTAAATAGCTAGCAGAAGGAGAGGAGACAGGGAGTACAGTTAGCAAATGCACGGTTGAAATGTGGTGGGAGTGCAGACCGGGGAAGAGACCGCTTCCACTTCAGCCAGGTGAAACCCTCAATAAAAAAGGGACATCTATAACAAGCCTGATGATCCATTAATAGTCGAACACGAAGATTACTAGGATCAGACTGCATTTGGAGATAAAATTTGAATTTTTAAAGTCCCAGAACCCAGGTCAAGAACAACAAATCCTGCAAAACTAGAATTGAGCTTATATTGACAAATGATCTTTATTCAAGAAACAAGCAAAACTAACAAGAAGTTTTAAAGGAGAAAGCTGAGAGGACGTCATCACACGATGTGTTCAGGTGTATCCTGAGCTGTTGAACTGCTGGTCTCTCACCCCAAAAGGAGAAGGGTAGGCAAGGAGGATCTGTGGTGTATCTTGGAAACTGGATGAAAACAGAGATAGAAGTCACTGTGAATAAGGTGGAGCTAAGAATTGAGGAGTAAGAGAGGGAAGGGACTGGGGAGAGAAGAACTGAGGAGAGAGAAACAAAAAACATGGGAAGACAAGTGGGGTAGGGACTAAGAGTAGGAAAGACACGTACCACTCACCAGTGTTCCTGAACCAAAGCGCAAGACCTATCAGAGAAGCAAGGCACTTTATCCGCCAAGATGATCAAGCCCATGGAACTGTGATATTCTGAATTGAGGAGACACCAAGGATGTTATAATCCACCCCATTTACCTCATCCACTCCTGTTTCACTGCATTGCCTTGGCTTTTTTTTTTATTTGAGTATCCAACTTACTAATCCTATTCTTTTTGTTTTTCTCTCATCCCTACTCAGAGATGGATTCTTCATCTTATCACTGCAGCATCCTCCTGCATCACATTTTTCATTTTCAACACTTCCATTTCTTAGCTTACTATTTTATTCATGTGTTGGGGCTATAATCGCTAAAATCCTAAAATTTTCAAGCTTTTGCCCTCCTCCATCTACCTGAGGACCACCTCTTGGCATTTCCAGCCTGAGCCCCAGCTCTTTCTCACCCCAGTAGAGGACGATGTCCCTAGCCCCTCTAGACTGCTGTACTTCACCCGACAGGACAGGCCAGCTGCCTCCCCAGCAGCCACCTCAGGGTTGCTTTCGAGAATACCATGTCCCGTCAGCATTGGGCAGGATGTCCCTCGCTGGAGTGCCCTGCTGCTCCTGCTCACCGCATCCACATCACCCACACCGGCTTTGCAGGTAGAATCCTGAGACACGTGCTTTACAAGCTCTAGATGGCCAGGTCAGGACTGAAGAGCCTGGACAGCCAGGCCTCGAGCTTCACTACAAGGACAGCATATTCAAATATAGACTTGGAGTTTCATATCTGCACAGCAGTTTAGAAGTTTAAATAGACACATCGTTCCCATTTCTCCTTCCTTTTTTTTTTTTTTTCTTTGAGACAGGTCTCACTCATCACTATGCAGCAGTGCAGTGGCATAATTATAATCATAGCGCACTGCTTGCCTCAAACGCTTGAGCTCAAGCAATCCTCACCTCAGCCTCTTAAGTAACTGGGACTACAGGTTTGTGCTACCATGACTGGATAACCTTTTTATTTTTTTAGAGACAGAGTCTCACTATGTTGCTTTCAGGCTGGTCTGGGACTCCTGCCCTTAAAGGTCCTCCAGCCTCAGCTTCCCAAAGCACTGGTAGATGTGAGCCACTGCACCCAGCCGTTCCCGCTTCTGGGTGGCTCTTCCTTATTCCAAATTGGAAGGGGGTGGTGGAAGGGTATGATTTTCAAATCAAAAGTTCTTGGAGGGAGGGGTGCAGGACTGACGCACACTACAAATGTGCCTTTCCTGCATCAAGAAGATAGCCAAAGATGAAACGTGGGCAGGTGTCACTGAGAGACTGTGTATTATGTCATTTTCATGCTGGATTCTGATTGAGCATTTTTGCAGTGACCTTGGCCATATTTAACCACTGGAGATGGCAAACGATTGTTCTGGAAGCTCACGAAATCTGATCCTTGATAAGCTACCGAAGAAGCTTCCTGAGAACTTTCCAGGTAGTTCACAGCCTCCACCTGTCCCCTGTATCTCAAAAGGATCTGGGACAAATACAGGAAAGAGGGAGAAAAAAAGATAAAATGAAATGAGAAGAAGTAAAGATTGCTTAGGAGTAAGCAAAGATTGCAGAAGCAGAGGGGAAGTTTGCAGGGTTTAACATAATGGAATAAAATTTGGTTTGGTCAGGGATTCAGAGAAAGAGGAATTGGTGGAAGCTGTCGGTGGAGGAAAAGATTAGTAACATGGAAGGGCAGATTGGTCAAAGAAAGTGATGTGAATGCTGTGGTGAGGAAGGACTTGGTATAGAACCCAACTGGGATTACAACGCTTAAGTTGAATGGAATGCAATGGGTTACAATTGAGTATATATAGAGGAGTGCTGAAGAGAATGAATGAGAAAGTGAGAAAGCTGAAGGTATCTGGTTGTGAAGGCAGGAAAAGGGTGGCCATGGATACCTGTAAGAAAAAGTAATAATGCATAACCCTGCAGTCAATAAGAGAGGAGTTCATAAATAACTTGAAGTGTTTGAAGAGTTAGGGTCTGGATAATAGCCCTTGCCCAAAAGTATGCAATTGCAGTTTATGTGGAAAAAGAATAGAATAAGATACTGCCACTTGAAGAGAGTCAGGCTGTTTTTCCTACAGGAATAAGAAACATTGAGACATCCCCTGTCTCCCACCTTCCCGCTCCCCATGGAGAAACTGAAGACTCACCGCACTCAAACTGCAATTCAAGGGAGTATCTGCTTGCATTCCCTCAAGGAACCGAATGCAGCGTATATGGAATAAAATTTCCAGTTCCTTCCTCCTCATTTGCTGAAGTTTCCCCTGGACCAGGGAGCCACAGGAAAATGATGGTGCTGCAATTCTGTCCGAGGCGTGGGTCTGCAAATCACCCAGATAACCTGAGATCAGATTTCGTTTCCAGGAATGGTTGTAAAAGGATGCGATCTGGATGACATGGAAGGAGACAGGCTCCTTGAGCCCTGTGGCAAAAGAACAAATAGAATGGGGAGAAAGAAATTGAAAGAGAAGAGAATGGAGAGAGGCCAGAGTGGGGAACTCAGAATCTGAAGAAAAGGGGATCCATCTGGTCTTAGCAGACGTTTGCTTGCCACAAGAGCCCCATGATTTATCAACCACCTTCTTCAGGCGCTCGGGGACTTGGAGTCATGGACAGTCAGAATGGAACCAGCCTGGCACTCTCACTGTCCAGGAATATGCTAGGGAAAGCACACACACATACACACACGCACACATACACACATGTGCACACACACAAACACACACACACAAGACCTTCATCCACCCAACTGGGCAGTTAGAGTTCTTACCGTCTGCATTGCCACCACCTGGGAGAACAGCTAGCAATGAAAGTAGCAAAAACAGCATGTCATTTGCAGATGTTATTTCCTTCTCAGAAAAACGGTCTTTAGGTTTTCTGTTCAAACAAACCTACCCCCACGATATCTCTCCCTATTCTATTTCTTTCTGCAACCAACAGACAAACCTCCCCTGACTGAAACTTTCGCAAATAAAATTCACTCCAAAAACCACAAGGACACCTATTTAGTCTCTCATTTCCCTCTGGTTCTGACTCTCCTCTCTAGTTTCCAACTTCTCTCCTTGTCAGCAACTTCCAACTTCACCTTCCCTAAATTCAACTGCTATGGAACAAGTCTGACGTGGCATTGAAAAACATAACCACTAAGGAACCTATTTTTTCCCTCAATCATACATGCATAGCCAAACTAAATGGCTCCCAGAGTGCAGCCCAATGTTCCCATATCCCTGCTGTTTGATCACTCTGTCCTTTTCAATATTTTTCCCATAATATTTTCTTCCTAACTCTTCATTATACTACATTCTCATTTCTGATTTAACATTGATTGATTTGCTTTGTCAAGGTCTCCTATGACTGCCCTGTGTGTGTCTCAAAGCTAACACCTTTTCTCCATTATTCTTAGAAGAGCCAGTAACCACATCTGAAAAAAAAAAAAAAAAACAAAACACTACAAAATGCAAAGAAGAAATTTCCTCTGTTTGATCTTCATTGATATGAACCATCCACCCAACAGACTCTCTTAGCACCTGCCTGGAGTCAAGTATCTTGGTACTTAAGAATATGCAGTGGTTGACAACACAATCACTTTATTGAAGGAGTTTTACTCGGGAGAAAAACACAGAACTATAAATCTTTGGTGTGCTGAGTTTTATTATACTGTATACACTCTCTAAAGGATAAAGCAGAGGCCTGCTTGAAGTAATATTTTTCGATAATGGGGACTCCTAACTAAAGTTTGTAGCCCAGAATTTGACTTCTGTTAGTTGACTTGGATATTAGTTCCATACCGCTATCACACTGTATCCCACTTAACAGTACCTCGCAAGTGGTAGGTCTACTTAACAGATATTATCAAATAGATGAATGAATTCAGCCAATATCGTTTGTTATGGAGGAGATATTCAACATGAAACTTTTTTTAAAAAGATATCATAAAAGTTACTTGTAACCCTACAGTGAGATGAGAATCTGCCACACTTTATTAAGGATAAAGTGCACAGGTTACTCATTGAGGTTTACATAAAGGATCTGCTATAAATTTCCCTGTACTTATAGAAACTAGTCAGAACTTGAGAGCAGTGAAGTTAATGGAATATTCCAAAGTCTGTATCCCAGGATCCCTTTTTATTAGTCCTACTTGGATGTTTCAGGGTTGTTTTGTCGCAAAACTTTGGAAGTCTTTGCTGGAGAAGATTTACATTCCTCTTTTATGCTACTTGTTACTGTTCAAGGGACTTAAATATATATTTGTGTGCTTTATGAGTATCATCTATATAAATGTGTTTGGGCTATTTTCTTTATTTTTATGGTTTTCCAAAATAATTATCTGAATCTAATTTAGGGGAAAAAAATTTTTTCTCGAGATGAGGCTTCACTCTGTTATTCAGGCTGGAGTGCAGTGGGGCCAGTCATAGCTCCTGCAACCTCAAGCTCCTGCATCAATCCTCCTGTGTCAGCTCCCAGAAGTGCTGGGGATTATTGGTATGAGCCACAGGCACCCTGTCCTGCAAATAATTTTGTTTGTTTGTTTATATTTTGTTTTGTTTTGAGACACAGTCTCACTCATATGAGCCACCAGGCATGGCCTGCAAATAATTTTTGTTTGTTTGTTTGTATTTTGTTTTGTTTTGAGACACAGTCTCACTCTGTCACCCAGGCTGGAGTGCAGTGGCGTGATCTCAGCTCACTGCAATGTCTGCCTCCCAGGTTCAAGCAATTGTCCTGCCTCAGCCTCCCAACTAGCTGGGATTACAGGTGTGTGCCACCATGCCTGGCTAACTTTGATATTATTAATAGAGATGGGGTTTCACCATGTTGGTCTCGAACTCCTGACCTCAGGTGATCCACCTGCCTCAGCCTCCCAAAGTGTTGGGATAACAGATAATTTTTTTAAAGTTAAGATTAGCATGCAAAAAGCTATAAAGAGCTTCATTTTCATATGTACAATTTTTTGAAGCCGGACCATCAAAATCACAACTTGAATTTATCAAAGAACTGAAATATCAGGGCATACAGTTAACCCAAAATATAAAGAAAGACAGACTCCTCCAAGGACGGAAGGAATGCAAACCCTTGTTTACTTGGGACAGATGCCAGACACTATACAAGCCAGTAAGAAGAAAAATTCAGCTAAAATTTTAAACAAATTAGTAAAGGCTAGCATGAGTATATAGAAGCCCTTGGAGTCATAGAAACAGGGAATTTCACATCAGTCTCTAAGCCCTTTTCCGTAAACCTCATCAGGGTCTTCTGAAAGATTAGGGTCAGAGACATACACCAGATAAATCCTCTGTCATGATGCGGGCCTGAGGAATGAGAACAGCTACTACATGGGAAAGGTAGTAAGTCCCAACCAGACCTCTCTCCTCTATTGTAAGAAAGAAAGAAAAAAAAAAACCTGGCCAGGTGTAATGGGTCACACCTGTAATCCCAGCACTTTGGGAGGCTAAGGTGGGCATCACAAGGCCAGGAGTTTGAGACCAACCTGGTCAACATGGTGAAACCCCATCTGTACTAATAATACAAAAAATTAGCCAGGGGTGGTTGTGCACACCTGTAGTCTCAGCTACTTGAATCCAGGAGGCAGAGGTTGCAGTGAGCTGAGATCATGCCACTGGCAACAGAGCAAGATTCAGCCCAAGATGGCCAAATAGGAACAGCTCCAGCCTCCAGCTCCCAGTATGAGTGACACAGAAGATGGGTGATTTCTGCATTTTCAAATGAGGTACTGGGTTCATCTCACTGGGTCATGTCGGACAGGTGGCGCTGGTCCGCAGGTGCAGCCCGACGAGCGAGAGCTGAAGCAGAGTGAAGCATTGCCTCACCTGGGAAGCACAAGGGAGAAGGAAATTCCTTTTCCTAGCCAAAGGAAATTAAGACACACAACACCTAGAATATTGGGTAACTCCCACCCTAATACTGTGCTTTACCAAGGGTCTTAGCAAATGGCGCACCAGGAGATTATATCCCACACCTGGCCCAGAGGGTCCAACGCACAGGGAGCCTCCCTCATTGCTAGCACAGCAGTCTGAGATCTAACTGCAAGCTGGCAGCGAGGATGGGGGAGGGGCACCCGCCATTGCTGAGGATTAAGTAGGTAAACAAAGCTGCCAGGAAACTCAAATTGGGTGGAGCCCACCACAGCTCAGGAGGCTGGCCTGTCTCTGTAACTCCTCCTCTCAGACAGGTCATAGCTAAACAAAAAGCAGCAGAAACCTCAGCAGAGGTAAATGCCCCCATATGGCAGCTTTGAAGAGAGCAGTGGATCTCCCAGCATGAAGGTTAAGATCTGAGAATGGACAGATTGCCTGCTCAAGTGGGTCCCTGACCCCTGAGTAGCCTAACTGGGAGACCACCCCCACTAGGTGCAGACCAACACCTCACACCACACATGGCGGGGTACACCCCTGAGACAAAGATTCCAGAGCAAGAATCAGACAGCAACACTCGCTATTCAGCAATATTCTATCTTCTGCAGACTTTGCTGCTGATACCCAGGCAAACAGGGTCTGGAGTGGACCTCAAGCAATCTCCAACAGACCTACAGCTGAGGGTCCTGACTGTTAGAAGGAAAACTAACAAACAGAAAGGACACCCACAACAAAACCCATCAACAAAGATTAAAGGCAGATAAAACCACAAAGACTGGGAAAAAGCAGTGCAGAAAAGCTGGAAATTCAAAAAATCAGAGCACATCTCCCCCTCCAAAGGAACGCAGCTCATCGCCAGCAACAGAACAAAGCTGGACGGAGAATGACTCTGACGAGTCGAGACAAGAAGGCTTCAGTCGATCAAACTTCTCAGAGCTAAAGGAGGAACTATGTAACCAGTGCAAAGAAACTAAAAACCTTGAAAAAAGACTTGACAAATGGCTAACGAGAATAACCAAAGTAGAGAAGTCCTTAAAAGAACTGATAGAGATGAAACCCATAACACGAGAACTACATGACAAATGCACAAGCTTCAGTAACCCACTCGATCATCTGGAAGAAAGAGTATCAGCGATTGAAGATCAAATGAATGAAATGAAATGAGAAGAGAAGTGTAGAGGAAAAGGAGTAAAAAGAAATGAACAAAGCCTTCAAGAAATATGGGATCATGCGGAAAGACCAAATCTACGTCTGATTGGGGTGCCTGAAACTGATGGGGAAAATGGAACCAACTTGGAAAACCCTCTGCAGGATATCATCCAGGAGAGTTTCCCCAACCTAGTAAGGCAGGCCAACATTCAAATTCAGGAAATACAGAGAACGCCACAAAGATACTCCTCAAGAACAGCAACTCCAAGACACAATTGTCAGATTCACCAAGTTGAAATGTAGGAAAAAAAGTTAAGGGCAGCCAGAGAGAAAGGCCGGGTTACTCACAAAGGGAATCCCATCAGAATAACAACAGATCTCTTGGCAGAAACTCTCCAAGCCAGAAGAGGTTGAGGGCCAATATTCAACAATCTTAAAGAAAAGAATTTTAAACCCAGAATTTCATTTCCAGCCAACTAAGTTTCATGAGTGAAGGAGAAATAAAATCCTTTACAGACAAGCAAATGCTTAGAGATTTTGTCACCACCAGGCCTGCCCTACAAGAGATCCTGAAGGAAGCACTAAACATGGAAAGGAACAACTGGTACCAGTCATCGCAAAAACATGTCAAAATGTAAAGTCCATCGATGCTAGGAAGAAACTGCATCAACTAGCAAGCAAAATTGCCACCTAATATCATAATGACAGGATCAAGTTCACACATAACAATATTAACCTTAAATGTAAATGGACTAAATGCTCCAACTAAAAGACACAGACTGACAAATTGGATAAAGAGTCAAGACCCCTCAGTTTGCTGTATTCAGGAG